ATTTTCATGCATTAAGATGTTTGTATAAGTGTTTGCTTTCAAACCTTTAATTTACCTAGCTCTCTTATTGTTAGTATGGATAACCGTTTGTATAACCATATAAATCGTCTTAAAGTAGTGTACGAACAGTCAGACAAAACAGCTGTCCTGTCAGACAAATGACGACGCAAATTATTCCAACAATTTGTCATGTGACGATCTCATCAATGTAAGAAATAGAAGTCATTTCTGACGTTGTAAGATATGTATTGATTTACTTTTTCCTAACAACCGCGCTTACATGTGATTAAGATACGTTTAAAGGGATTAGAAACTATTCTTGCGTGATTGTTGCTACATGCTGTTTCCGGCTTTATATAAATAACAATGAATAACATTCCTTCTCCTGAAGAGGACATTAATGTAAAGTAAGGACTTGAATATATTGTGGTGAATTTATGAGATCATATTTTGTTATAAAGCATTCAGAATTGATTACAATTGTATACGGAGCAATCAGCATCAAATTCAATAATGATGGACAATTGTGTTACAGTCGTGGTTATCTGCATTATTCAATGTAATTTAAATGAGAATATATTTTCCCTCGTGTTTCAGAAAGTCTACCGATGCCAAATGTAGTTCGTTTTAATAGGGTGATATAGAGCACAGACGATACGTTATTTTGAATATTTATTGTAAGGCATGTTATCATTTAAGGCACAGTAAATCTTAGCTATTATTATCTTATTTTTTTCAATGGAAATAGATAAAAAGAAAACCAACATGGAAAAATTAAAAATATTTTACTAGACTTTTTTTATTTTGTCAATGGACAACAGTGGTAAATGAAAGCTAGCGTTTTGTTCCCCTTAGAATTTAAGAAATATTCTTTAAGTTTAAAAACCTATAGCTGCGTTTGAACCTACATATTTGTTTGATGGGCAAAGACATGCGTAACATGTAAAAGAAACTAACTTACTGTCATACATAAAATTATATGATAAAATTATTATTTTAAGCATTTAAATTTGAGAAATTCAATCATTATGACAGTTTCTATGCTGAATTGTTTTAAACTATGCTATAATACTTCTCGTTTGTATCGTGCATTTCATTGGATAAGCGATAAAGAAGAACTCTTTGGGATATTTGATTTATTTTTAATTTAAATTTCGACAAATAAAGAGATAATACAGTGAACAGGTTCTTGGTTAGTGACGGAATAAACAAAGCGTGAATGTGAAAATATAGCTGAAAGAAACTTACATAAATTTTCGACAAATAATTCCTCCATGCCATGATATAAATGATTGTATTGTAAATTGAATTCAAAGACATGTCGGCTTTGGTTTGGTTATATCAGCCATTCACTTTTTATTACCGGGTGGGCCTGTCAGAAACTATTTGTTCGACAAATAATTCTTAATATTTCCATTGTAAAAATCGTACGCTTGTGTGTTTGATGTCAAATCAGTCATGTATATCATAACTTTCTAAAGATATTCATATACTCTGAGAACTGTTAGTGATCATGGTATATAACGTTTATAGACTTATGTTTTGTTTTATAGACCTTGTTAAAGTATGACGAATTCGGTCATCAAATCCGAGAAGCTATATTTATACATGTACTTTAACATACATGTATCAAGTCTTTAAATGTAAAGTATAATTTTTGGAACACGTCCTGGTATAGTTTTATGTTTTGAAACGTATCTTCCGTATCAAATAATGGACTCTGGTGTATTTGTTGATACTGGTGTTACCATATCACTTTTGTTCAATAGAAACAGCACATAAAACCAGATAGAATTACGTTGGTGATTTCCCGTTTTACAAAACAATCTGTTGCCATGAGCTATTCAATAAACAGAGTTCAAGTTTATTGTATTAGTATATGTGTCACATTTCTGTTCTACACGACGGGAAAGGTTGCATTGTTTACAGATGTAAAATAGAATACTTAGGCCCATGGGGATTCATCAAATAATAACCATTGTACGGAAAATTTAATCGGAGCTATATTAGAAAATAATGTGACGAAATCGTGTATTGTTAAGACATGGTTGTGTAGTTAGAATCAATATAAACAACATTAGAATAATTTGGCCAATCCTGTAAATTTGCATTCTTAAATGGAAGCAAATGTATTTCACCAAACTCAAACTTGAGAAAATGTTAAAGAAAAGTAATTTTAAGAAGTTTCATTTAATAATTTCACGTTGTGTGCGATTAATGACTGATTTTGCAGTATTCATCAACATATTTCTACAGCGTGACTTACATAGTAAAGCCTCTTTTTGCATAGTTTGACCTCTTTATTTTAGGTGGATATGTATGTGCCGTTTGCAATGTATGAATTACTTTCTTTGTTCACTTCAAAATATTTTACTTTTTATACATTTTCAAACTTCGCATGACATTAGTATGATTCTTGAAGAATGCCGCTTTAAATCTGCCACATTATATTCTCTAGAATTAACGAACCTTTTTGTTAGTCTCGGTTTTTATCTTTTTTTCTTCAATATCATTTTATAAGAGCCCAGGTAAAAATATGAGAGAATATAATACAAGTGTGATAGTGAAACGAGGTTAAATTGAATGTATTAATAGTGCATGCCCTGATGTTATTACTCTATTTTTAACAGCAATTACATATATAATGCAAAAATATTATTTAAGAAACCCGTTATACCTTTAAGAGAAAAATATCAAATTCAATCATAATCGTAAATAAAAAGTATATAGCTATCGGTTTTAATGCAAGGATTGGGCGGGGGCGGAGGTAATCTATGATGCATTTTGTACTTATATTTTCGTAAGTTTCGCTCTTATTGTCATTGTCAATGACAAGTCGTTGATATATTAATGTCAAGAACGTTGTATAATGTATCAGTAGCACTTAACTAACTGCTAGGTAATCAATGTAGCTGAATGCTTACTCGCATCAGTGAATCAGATCATTTATTGGATTGCACGTTTTGTGATTTCTTCTGTAGAGAATAACACAATCTTAAGCTCATGATTAGATTTCTGCTATTCAATTTATTTAATGATGTAGAAGTAGGCAAAAAAGTAGAAAACAACATTGATTATTAGGCTTTTACTCAACTTTCCTTTATTATAGTCGTCGTGTTTGTCATGTATAAATGTCTAAGTGGAGAGAATATTACTGTACTATTGTACAATCCAGTTTATCTCATGGACGGACTCAATACAACTGACCGATTTTGCGTTTTCCAATCGTAAATTGAGATCTTGCTGTTTGTTTTTGAAGATTTATGCCCTGCCGCTTGGCTCAATAAAGTGAATTTAGTAATATATGGGGTACCTTTTTCGAGATATATTTTGTCCGGGACAATTGAACTAGCCATTGATTCTAATAGTCGTTTGATCCTTTGCGCTGAATGTAAGCTTATGTAGGAGATATTGATAATTACTGGGCAGGTAGATATTATCCGGGGAAAACCGGTTTGGTGAATCCACACGTAATGTGACACACAAAAAAAATAAAACAACAACATAACACTTATTTACATAATAGGCGGGGAAATTGACTCCTATATTTCTGAATTTCCAGAATAGACACTGCTGGAAAATGAAATGTAAAAAAATATATTGAATCTGTAAAAACTGTTTCATGTATGAGTTAAGTTGTTTCATGTTCTATGCTTTTTTTAGCAGTAATACACTGAACGGATTAATACCCTTCACCCTCTTAAGTTTTGATACATGTTTTGCATCATAAATTGTGAAAGAATATTGACATTTCAACTTTTTTAAATAATCTGTGTAATTTTTAATCATTAACTGATCTTACTAATAACTTTTTTGCAAATTCCTGTTTTTATACTTTATTTTTCCATTTAGATGTGTAATTTTAATAGTTTTATTTTAGGCTTATGAATCTCAGTGGACCTTCTTAAATTAAACATAATTATATTTATATGGATTTACAAGAGGTTAAGCAGAACGTCAAAGCTAAATATGAATCTTAATATATAATATTATATATTATACAATGTGAAAATGTAAACGGTATAAACGGTAATTGGTATGTGCATACCTGTCAGAATAGCGGCGTTGTAACTATTACGTTTACCGTGGTTTTCCACAAGTTTTTGTTAATAAGAAAGAAATAAGAAACTACTAAATAACTTTCGAGATTGCCACTATGGATGTTAAGCGACTTGTGCAAAAATAGTTTATAATAAGATTTAGCGCCTCAATGTATTGTTGTCGGTTTTCCCTTAAAAACATGCGTGTATATTCTTATCATAATAAGAACACTTGATACTTATAGTGTGTATAGCATAATTGCTTTTTCTATAAACATATAGATATGATTGGAAAGTTGTAAGTGTGGTCTGTTATAGCAAAATGGCTATATCATTTACAATATCTAGGTAAACATTCGCTTTCAGAAGTCTAAGACATTATACATTATACATATATTTCCGGATGTTCTTAAATCTAAATAAACAGTGGTTTGTAACATATCAGTATGATTGAATATTTGTATTACTGAATATGCTTACGATGATACTGCAGCTTTATTTATATGACTTTCACTTATGTGTGACTGTGTGACTTTTTTATTTCAGAATAACCAATGTGATGAGAGCGATGGTATGCCTCACATGCGGAATGTGAAAATAAAAATCTGATACAGTAAACTGGTGGCCGCCTCGTTGTAGCAGATGTTAGCGCTGAGTCTTCTTAGAGAACACTATTGAGAATCGTTGGGGGTATTATAAGTTATAGGAAAAACAAATCTGACAAGGAGAAGTTCAACCACCATCTGTTTAAGTTGTGTTATAAATTGACTCTGGGGATTTACTTGTGCAGGAAAAAAGAAACACATTGGAATACAGTATTTGGATATTAAGCGGATTCATTTTTTGGTGTTAAACTTAAGTAAATAAAACAAACAGATAGTTATATACAATAAGTTTTTTTTCTTTAAAACAAATAAAAAACATGTTGATATGACTGAAATGAAAATTCTTAAGACAGACAATTACATGTAAAAATGTGTCCATACAGTTTCTTGTGAGATTTTAAGAATAAGTTAAGAAAGTTAAAGGGAACTTAGTGTAAGTAAGTTTCTACGATGGCGGGAGACCAAATGCAAAGCCAAAATTCAGAATTAGGGAACATGACAGACATAAATTCAACAGCTATAAATGGAACAAGTTATAACCCATTGTGTGATGAAAATACTTATTGTGAACCATGGGAGGACTACATTGATCGTGTCCATGCTTTGATATACCCAGAACCCGGGGAATGGGTTCTTATTGTGGTATATGCGTTGACATTTTTTGTAGGACTTATTGGAAATATCCTAGTTTGTTTTGCGATCTGGAGAAACAAAAATATGCGAACCATTACAAACATGTTTATAGTGAATTTGTCCGTAGCAGATCTTGCTGTTATCATTCTTTGTCTTCCATCTGCACTTCTAATTGATGTCACAGAAACTTGGTATTTAGGAAACACATTCTGTAAAATACATATTTTTCTCCAAGTAAGTATACCTCATCAACTTTTCATTTGAAAATGATTATTTTGACAAGGATTGTTTGTCCTAATTATATTAAAGACATATTATGCCTCAGAAACATTAAACAATTTACCTTTTAGATAGAGAAAATATATATTTTATTATGACCAAAGTGGTATACCATACTAATAATTATATGTATATAATTATGCAAATAAAACAATTTTCAAACATCGAAAAATATGTAAAACATGTACTGCAAATATTTGTGCATTTTATATGTAATCATTAAAATATATGCATTGATTTCTTATTAAAAAATTTGTCTTAAACTTTATAGAAATTAAATTTCTAATTTCCTCCCTTTATTAACGTGAATTGTTAAATTCGGTTATATCTTTATCAATAATGCCTACAATATTGATAAATCTTAATTTGAGCATCATTTTTATGACTTAAAGCCATTAAAAGGTGTTACAGGATCTTTAAATAATAGTTTTAGAGCATGTTAAATGCTTGTTTCTTAAAGAAAGTAGCGATACATGTGAAATAATATGTCACAAAGAGTGGCACAATATAAACAAAGTACAGGTATTTTGACTTCCATACAAAATATACAAAATTCTAATTCACCATAATTTTACTTATCGCAAAAAATCAATAAATGCTTCAGGTAATTGGCCATACATTAAAAATAAAGAAGCTATTGAAATATAAAAATAATAAAGCATTTCTTAGGCATAATGGTCTTTCAATTTCCCCTTATCATATCGTTAAATTGCCATGCGACATTTGTAAGTGAAGTTGTTATTTCTTTGACTCAAGAAACTTCCGCCAATTTTGCTTAGTACTTAGGTTGGTTCCAGGAACGGTCTGAAAACAATTCTATGACCATATAGCATCCAACACAATGGAACAAGTTTGAAATAAATTCTGTATAGCTTCCAACACAATGGAACAAGTTTGAAATGAATTCTGTATAGCTTTCAACACAATGGAACAAGTTTGAAATAAATTTTGTATAGCTTCCAACACAATGGAACAAGTTTGAAAAAAAATCTGTATAGCTTCCAACACAATGGAACAAGTTTGAACATACTGATTCGTTTTGAAATTTTCCACAGAACGACTCGAGAAATTCCTATATTAGTTCGGGCAAATTAAATCTTAAGATATTGATAAAAGTTTAAGGGCAATGGGCAATTTGTCATTTTTAATCATAATAAAGGTTTTCTAAGCAGTCAAATATAAATGCCATACTGGATATTATAAACGTATTACTGATCATAATAAAGGTAAACCATGGCATGTTTTCTGCTAATATCAAGTGATATTAGCACGTTATATTAATTACGCGAATTTCGACACCTGATAGTAACTTGCTATGCCTTTTGCAGCTTTAAACTCAAATGATTGAAAAAAAGACAAAAGTGAACATTCTATTAGAAGAAAACGTTATTCTGATAATTTTTTGACAAATGTAAACACATGATACGACAAAAATTACACAATTACTGTCATTATGTTATTAGTAATAAAGTGTTTGTTCTAATCTTGTTATAAAGGCTATTTTTGTGTCGCCTCTACGGAGTAATGGCGATATATAGGGATCACTTCTCAGTCGTCTGTCCGTCCGTCTGTCCGTCCGTCACAAAACTTGTCCGGACTACTCCTCAAAAGATACTGGTGCAATTTCATCCAAACTTTACAGCAATGATCAGTACCAAGTCTAGTTGTGCACATTGTCAACATTTTTTGGTTAAATGATTTTTGTAAGAGTTATGGCCCTTTAATTATTTTTATTTTTAAAGTTTGTCCGGACTACTTCTCTTATACCACTAGTGCAATTTCAATGAAACTTTACAGGATTGATCTGTACGGCAAGTCCTTGCGCAAATTGCACGGGTTTCCGGTTGAATGATTTTGGCCGAGTTATGGCCCTTTGATAAAAAGGTGTTTTTTTTCTGTGTGTTGCCAGATACCCAAAAGCTTGTCCGGACTACTCCTCAAAAAATACTGGTGCAATTTTATCCAAACTTTACAGGAATGATCAGTACCAAGCCTAGTTGTCAGTACCAAGCCTAGTTGTCTGTCCGTCTGTCACAAAACTTGTCCCAACATGAAATTGGCCATCATGAGGCGACACATGTGATCACTGATCGCTCTTGTAATACTGTACGTTTGAATCGTCGTTTTTCATTTGATAGTCGCGACGTTTATATAGTTTTATATATACATATGAGCCGCGTCACGACAAAACCAATATAGTGCGTTTGCGATTTCCGCGCAGTCTGATCAGGATCCATGCTGTTCGCTATCGGTTTCTCTACTTGTAATAGGGTTGGAAAGCGAACAGCATGGATCCTGATCAGACTGCGCGGATGCGTAGGCTAGTCTCGAACCATGCTGGTCGCATTACGTTGGTTTTGTCGTGACGCGGCTCATATGCTGTCACCATATGAAGAAATCTCACTTCTGTTTCTTAAAAAATAAATGCTTGCTGTATTATAATTTCTGACAGCCTAGTGGCAAGGGTTATGTTTCCAAACAACCGTTTATATAGGGTCATATAACTTACATGTAATAGTATAAACGGTTTTAAGCAGACAAACAACTCTTATGACCATATATAATCTGTCAAAGAATTGTAATACACATTCATACATGTAACAAATACAATTGTTTTTGAAGGGAAATACAATTTATTTTATAAAGAGGGGAAATAAAATTTTATTAATTGACAAAATCCATGTACATATATTATATAAACGCCAATAGATAACCAATGAACAGTGACGTTACAGTCGTACAGTTTTCCGAAGGTTGGCAAAAATACATGTATATAGTGTCTGAATTGTGCCTTCATTGAATGTCCACAAAAATAGTTGCTACATAAAAAAATCTAGAGAATAATAATGCAAACTAAACCGGTAAATTGTTATTTTCGATAAATCGTGCATTAAGGACGAATTGGTTAATGATTCGGGTGAAATATCATCTCCCAGGGTAATTGTTTAAAGGTTTAATTTTACACATTTGAATGAATGTTAAACACAAATACAGCTCGCGTCTCGTCTCGGAATTAATAATAAATGTATTTTGATTACAGGAGCAAATATTTATTTCATTAATGTTTAAACTAAAACATAAATTTGCCCGTTTATGAAATTGCACTATTTGTATTATTTTTATTGATATGTTTTAATTTGCATAATTTGTGATTAGATTTCTATAAAGAATAGAACTTTTTGTCTTTTTTTCTGATTTTACCTCATTTACTTTTATAAAAAGTGGAAGGTTTGCATTTTCACTGTGATATTATTTAAAACTTCTAAACAAAAAATTGTCTCGTATTTAATACAAATTATTTTCATTAAATAAACGGTTTACTTTTATTATTTCTTGTAGTATCTTAAAGGCCCATTTTGCCTCAGAAATGCTATCGATTTTCTCTCATATTTTTTGCTTTATTTTGCATCTTTAGTTATGTTGGCAATTGGGGAAATGACAGCTGTACTGCAAAACCGTAATGTGTCCGCACCTTTTTTACGATAAATTATTTACTATTTTATTTTAGATGGAAACAGTTATAATAATATTGTTCACTATCATGTATATACAATATACAATTGTGCCACTTATTTCAAGTGAACTCCGTTCCCCTATTTTTTATATGAATTAATAATAGAAATCCCATGAGTAAATAAAAATACCAACTATTTTAAAAAGTTAAAACACGTTTCATGAATTCATTATGATCAATAAAAGCCCCTACATAACAAATGAAGTTTGTGGAAATGGCTTCACTAATAAATGAGTCCTTTAAAGGGCAATTTATGTACAAGTGGACACTAAAACGTCTATAAAATGACTTGTAAAAGTTCGTATTTCTGACATGTAAAATATTAATGCAGTTGGTTCGTTTCATTAAAAGTCATACTATTTACTTTTAAGTTGACCCGGTGCATGTTGAAATGCATGTTGAACCGTTGAAACGTTAGTGTTGAAATGATAAGTTTCGAAATGATAAATGTTACACACAATATGCTGAACAGATTTGTGTTGAAACGATACATTGTCAATTGTTATGTTACTATTGGTAACGATACAATGTCACGTTGTAACGATATAATGTCACGTTCTAAAGATTCAATACCGATTTTTAACGATACAGTGTCACGTTGTAACGATACAATGTCACGTTGTAACGAAACAATGTCACGTTTTGTAACGATACAATGTCTCATTGTAAAGATATAGTGCCACGTTGTAACGATACAATGTCACGTTGTAACGATACAATGTTTCGTTGTAACGATACAGTGCCACGTTGTAACGATACAATACCACGTTTTAACGATACAGTGTCACGTTGTAACGATTCAAGGTCACGTTGTAACGAAACAATGTCTCGTTGTAACGATACAGTGTTTCGTTGTACCATATAGTGCCACGTTGTAACGATTCAAGGTCACGTTGTAACGATACAGTGTCACGTTGTAACGATAAATGCCACGTTGTAACGATACAGTGTCACGTTGTAACGATAAAATGCCACGTTGTAATGATACAGTGTCACATTGTAACGATACAATGCCGCGTTGTAACGATACAGTGTCACGTTGTTACGATAAAATGCCCATTGTAATGATACAATGTCACGTTGTAACGATACAATGCCGCGTTGTAACGATACAACGTCACGTTGTAACGATACAGTGTCATGTTGTAACGATACAGTGTCACGTTGTAACGAAACAATGTCTCGTTATACGATATCGTGTCACGTTGTAACGATACAATGTCACGTTTTAACGATAAAATGCCACGTTGTAACGATACAGTGTCATATTGTAACGATACAATGCCACGTGTGAACGATACTTCGGTTTCATAGCAATGATTGATGATAAATAATTTTGAAATTAATATTCTAAAGTACGCATGAATGAATACAAACTCTTTCTTAACATTTCTATCTATTTGTTAAGCATCATTTTCTGTTCTCAAGAATTAGAAATACAATTTGTTTCAGTTGAGTTCCTGAAATAGTAAGAGTAGAATATGCAATATTTGCTTCATTTCTTTATAAAGTTATACTCTATTTTACCATTATCCTCATTACGTTTTTTAATCAATTTTCAGTCAATCTTCATATCCGTATCAGTTCTCACGTTGAGTTCCATATCAGTTGAACGATGGTACGCAATTTGTCATCCACTACGATTTCACAGCACAGTTGGTCGAGCACGTACAATCATCATCATTGTATGGACCGTGTCGATTCTTCTTGCCGTTCCGGAACTCATATTCTCTACAGTGATACCATGGAATGCACGAACTGTTCTCTGGTCTAGTTGTGGACCATATTTGTGGAATACGAGAGATCAGACTATATATCAGGTGTTCTTGATGATAGCAGTGTACTTTGTACCAATGATTTTGATGGGCTTTACGTACATGCAAATAGCTTTAGTTTTATGGCGAGGTCACATTCCTGGTGCTTCTACTTCAAGAAATTCCCGTAACTATCTTTTAGTGTTTTCTTTTAAATGTTTGTCGAAAATATAACTTCAAAGCACACTCATGTATAATCGTTATTCTATGTGTGAGTTGTTGAAAAGTTCTTTTAAGCATTATCTTTTATGTTGATACTTCATTAAGAATGAAGAACTAACTTAAGAATTTAGAATAAAAAAAGCACATAGTTATCTTTGGTTATTATTGTTCAAACGCAATCAATGGTATGCCATTTGTTCAGCCCGCTTTTAAAAATAAGTTTGATACACTTTATATCCATTTTCTGTGTTAACTTTATGTATATATGTTTATATTTCGGCGAAACTAAGTAGCATTTTATTGACATAATCATAGTTCGCATTTTTAGCTAATCAATTAGTACATGTTGAAATTCCTCCCAACCTAAAAACAAAGAAAATGAATGTTTTTGTCCATATTTAAATATTGACAAGTCCATTTGTTAAAGCGTTCATATTTAAACGAATGCAAATTTGAAGTGAGCATAACTTTGTCAACAATTTCACAGATCCCTGCCTTGACTTTTAGTGACATTTGTCCTTTTGGTAACAAATAGGTTGCGGTGAATTTCGTATTGTGATACACTTACCTGATCATTTGAATGAGATATTTTAGGATCATATAGGGATATTTACCATTAAACATGCAAAGCTATGGTAATTTCCATCAGTCCAGTTCACTATAGTTTAAATAAAATAATGTTAATATGCAATATAAATCTATGGTAACCTTTCGTATAATAAATTAGGCTTGGTAGTTCTGTTTTCCTTAATTACTTATCTCCTCAAACCTCATACCATAAAAAGCTTCAACACAACGTGTATAAACGTGACCGCATGACTAACTGCAATGTAAGAATAAGGACATGTTTCCCATAACATTTGATATTGTCACAGTGAATAAACAAGTCTACTTCCAGTTATCGCAAGCAAAATACAAGTTAACATATATATAGGCTCCCAAGTAAGATACAGTGATCAGAAGTAACACGTTCCTTCACTCGCAAGATATGGTTAACATTGAATTATATAGGCTCACAAGACAATGTACAGTGATTTTGTTTAATTATATACTGTGATTACAGGAAGTCGGCAACCAATGTTGAATAACCGACATCAGCGGGAATCAACAGATGGCGAGGATCAAATGGATGGTAGAAGGAAGGCTGCCAAGATGCTTGTAGCTGTAGTATTTATGTTTGGTATATGCTTCTTCCCTATACACCTTTACAATATATTAAGGTACGGTTTTGAAATATACATTTGATATTCTAACCCTTACTTGTCCGGTGGTAACTAATTCTACCCATACTACAAGTGCATATCTAGTCTGTGTCGTCCGATAGTTTAACTACTAGTAGGATATGATTTTATAAAGCTTATCGGTATGTTTTTACATTGTGTGTATCAGTTATCAGTAAATTTAAGTGTCTACAGGTCAGACAGAAGCACCAAATTCTATGGTTACCGCAATGGTGTTAATATCATTATTTAGCATTAGACTTTGGCCCTACTTATTCGTCCAAACAGAAGACGAAAATCCGAACAATTCTGGTTGTTCATTTCGAACAATCTGTGTTCAGTCGGGTTTACTGCATAAGTTATAAAAACCAAGAGCTTGTATTCGAAACAAACGCAAACAGCTAAGTTATTTAGACGCTAATTAGAAGAACACAATAAACCTTATAAACAGCTACAGTTGTAGCCCCTTCATTATAGCTGTTGAAATTGATATTTTTTTCTTATTAGCTTCTGATTATTACTTAGAAATCTATGTTTTTTACTTCCACAGAATTAATTGCATTGTTGAATGATTCACACTTAAATTTAACAATACTGTATGTACAATTATTAACTTGTTAAATGAGAAAATATGGAAAATATCGCTGCTATAAGAAAGGAATGCAAATAATGAATAAGTCTGACCTAATTTGTAATGAATATCCTTTTTTTTTTTCAGATACACTGGATCAAATAAAAATATGAGTCACTCGGCTGAAAACATATTTGTCCTAACTGCACATTGGGCAATCTTCTTCAATAGCTGTGTAAATCCAGTTATTTATAATTTCATGAGCGGTAAGTATTACTATTTGTTACGTTTTTTAGTCCATTAACGGAATAGTTTTAATCAAGTTATTCCTTTAGAAAAATAATAATTAGATAGCATAACCAAACTATAATTTTTTAATTTCATGCCGATGGATAGCAGTATCAAATTGAATGAAATATCAGATGAAATATATTCAACTGCAGGCAAAATGTTCGTACATACTGGAAATACTCCTTTTAGGGTTTCAAAATTTGAGAAACTTTAAAGGCTTATTTTTAAAGATTGACGTCATGGCTCTGCTGTCATAATTGAATGACATCATCAGAGACAGCGCCTAATGTAACGATGAGAAAATCAAAATAAATATATTTAAACCCATTGCGAAAGCGAAACAGGTAGAAAAATGTAGTGCCTTGCATGTAGGATCAAATAAACACTTTTATTACATGCTTTTCGATGGTTTATAGAAATATATCAGTGAATTAAAACTGATAATTTCACTGTTTGAAACAGTGAAATTATCAATTTGATAATTTCACTGTTTTGAATTTAAGCCCCTTACGTTGTTTAAGTGAAATACCAGCGTACACAGAACTGGAAACCAACTTAATAACGTGACGTCGTAATGACGTCACGTTGTATAATTATTTGGCGCGCTATTCATTTATTTTTAGGTAAAAATGTCCTTTTTAACGTTTGATTGCATGTAATAAAAAGAAAATTTGTTTAGTTTAGTGTAAGATCGAAATATATTTCACCTCGTGAACACCAAAAGTTACGCCACTCGTGAAATATACCTTTTGGTGCTCACTCGGTGAAATATATTCCGATCTTACACTGAACTTAACAAATATCCTCTATATATAGATATATTAGACGTAGCTACACTTTTCATCTGGTGTCTATGCTGTGAAGAATATTACCCCCTTTTTAAAAAAAAATAACGCGATAAATCGTCTATCTCCGTTGTTATCAATACTAATCCGTACTCATTTTGTTCCTAATACTTCTTCAATGTTACATTGCATCGCCCTTTAAAAGTTTATTATAATGGAGAACCTCATAGTAAAAGTCAAACGACTACGGGCTAAATTCTTCAAGATTTATATTAGTTTCCCGATACTTTTCCTGATGTTTTATTGAAAATGTCTGTGTTTACAAAGGTCATCATGATTTAGACTGCATTACTGATTTCCTTTTGTGATATCGTTGTTTGAAAAAAACGGGAAACAAGCGCCATAATATATAAACTACAGTTTCCTCAGCTATTATGTCAAAATATAGAGAAATTAAGAATCCCAAAAGAAAGCACAACAAGACAAAAAAAACGAGCAGAAATAGACAAGATATTATTAAATGTATAACAAGTTTATAAACATAAAAGACTTCCTTGGAAATAATCGTATTTATCAGTTTGCAACAGGACTAAATGTTTATGTAAATATAAAATGTATATTAAAGTCAATTAAACGATTAAATCCGAAATAAAAATGCTTACAGTGTCAAAATGTGTTGATAAAGTTAACTATTTCATATAAAATTTATTACATTTTCATAACATCTCTGACAACGGAAAAATCTTGAAAAATATATTTACTGTCCTCGGTACTAATATCATATATGTGTTAGTATTATTTGTACAGCATATTCATTTGTAAATTAGCATTTTATGAAATCATTTAAATGCAATGATTTTAAAAATCCCAATTTTATTCGGATTGTCTTATCATTTCAGATAAATTTCGGAAAGAATTCAAAGTGGCTGTTCTAGCCTGCTTGAGTTGTGGGCGACGTACGGGGCCCTGGAACAGAGGTGATATGTACAGAGTTACATTTAACAGTGGCAGAACTATAAGTGTTCGTTACAGCAATCATACGCAATTACCGATGCAAAATTGTGTTTAGAAACAAAATGCTACATTTCTTCATGATTTTTATTTTACTGTTGTTCTACAAAATGTATGACATGTCAAATGACTTACTATTCCAACTGCAACTGTGTTTAAACAGCCACAAACTTAAGGTACTCGAGCTTTACAGCTAAGAAAAACAGCGTCAAACATTTCTGTTATTATGTATTTCTATGAAATGCACTTGGCTGGAGAACAGTGATTTTAAAATAAATGTCAACAAGTATTTACAAACATTGAAAATGGTATTTTCGTATATGTTTCAAGCTTTTGCTTCTTGTCTGTTTATTTTCTTTTCTCATCTACAAGATTTTCTTTTCAACAACTTTATTGATTTCACAAACGTCAGAGAGATGGGGGTGTGAAAAATGTTGCACCATGCTTCTTTATCAATATCTGACTCAATCAAAACGGTTCAGTAATGTCCCCCTTTTTCTGTTTTTGACATGCTCTCGAGCGATCTATTTTCCCCACTTTGTATATGTATACATGTATGTTCTTAAATAGAGAGAAAAATGGAATCACTAATGCACGCTCTAAACGACAAAATTGAAAATGATGCAGGCTCTGTTTGGTTAAGCATATTAATGGATGATACTGTACATTGCAAGTTACCGTCCACCCATGCCCCCACCCCCAGAACCGACGTATGCAGATCTCAACATTTAAATACAAAAAAACGATGAAATTTTGAATAATTAAGAAACATCCGTTAATGTGGTCATTAAAGTTTTAAAAAGAGTGTGCGATTTTTAGCAGTTTTCGGTCAAATAATCTTTCATTTCAGATAACAAACCTATTTTTTTTTTTTTTTTTGAAAAAAAGTGTTAAAGTTTTCTAAATACAATGTATCTCAATTTATGATCAATTAAGAATATAGATACCGGATAAAAGTCAAAACACGAATTTCCATGAATTTAATTGCATAGTTCAGCAGAGAAATAATAACAAATTGTTCATAATTATGTAAAACTTGTCTTTAAATATGTACTTTTAAGACGAACCAGGAAAATAAATCTTGCTTCGCTGAAATAATAATGAGTACATTTGTAACTACTCTGAATTTATAGTTTGGTAATGTGTAGGAACATGATACGTTTAGCATTTACATAAATTGTACTGATATGAAGTAATGATTGTGTACTTATATATAATATATATTTCTTGCGATTTTAAAATAGTATTGAAAAAAACAACTGTTACAACAGAAAACAACAATAAATCAAAGAAGATACGTTCTCAAAAGATTAAAAGAAAACACGAAAGATCGCGATTTTTATCTGACCTCAAAAAATGGCATTCGTGTGTACAAAGGGAGTAACAAACTGTTAACGTGTTATTATCTGAAAGTCTTGTGGCGGTCTAATATTGGTTTGCTGATATGTTGTTACTAGTTGCCAAACAAATGGCAAGAAATAGTATGTTTGGAAGATCTGAACATTGTTTTTGATGGAAGATAACGTCACACTGCTAATGCTGTTTAATTGTGTACATGTTTATCTTGCTTCGGTTAATGCTTTTCTGTAAACCATACTTCCAAGCTTTATTTTTCTAACCTAACAAATAATAGAATGAAAAAGACATATCTCAAAAGGTTTATATCATTGTAAGTAGTGTAAGAAACCAAATTGTAGAATGTTTTAACGTGTCTTTTATTTCTTTTGTTGCATTTAAAGATTTGTACAAAATGTAATAAATATGAAGATTCTTATTGTATCTTTCTTATTATTTTATTGAACACAAAATTTACATTTAATGAAGAAAGGAAATAATACACACGTATTATATTTAGTTATCCAATACCCAGATGTTGCAAATGTATACTGTAACTGGAAAAAGAGTAAATTAAAAAAACGCATTACATTCTTCATACAATAAGCATCCATTTATATTAAATATGTTCTTTTGTACCTGATGCAACCACATTTTACCGAGTTATAGTCGGCATTATGTTGTTTAGAACATATTTGTGTTCCAATGATTATGTATCGTGCTTAAGTAATTTATTTCAATAAACGCATACCTTTATTATATGTATTAACATTAACGTTATTGGTACACAATGCTATGATACCCACAATAATACGTAGAGAAAAAATATAAGAAAAGCTTGTGGGAACATTTCAACTTCACGCATTCCCGAATTCATCTTTCTGAATTCACAATATTATGTCCATGAATTCACGATTTCAACTTCACGAATTCACTGTTTCAACAACATGATTATACGGAAATAAAATTGTAAATTTACGAAGATACAATCGTGCATTCATAAAATTGAAATGTCTTTCGTACAAAACATTTTTGACAGTTTTAAGAAAGGAAACACATTCAGCTTTAAGTCAACGCACTTATGAATTATGTAGATTTTTAAAATGAAGCAATTATCAAAATCCATTATCAGGCGAATCAAGGTCTAAATATTGAAAGAATTTAGAGTTTTACAATATATTTCAGTGTAATAGTTTTAATGTTAAATGTGATTAATGTAATTGATAATGTTGTAATAGAAACAATTTTGAAATTAATGGGTCATGCTTATATCAAGAATTAATTTATTCTGATGAAGGTCAATGAACATTTCAAAACAAAAAAAAATCTTAAAGTTCCATTTCGTTAATTATCAAAATAAATCGGCTTCAAAAAGCCAATTAACTAAATTTGGGGAACTAGATTTGACTGTTAACCACTGCTAACTGACATTTTTGGTTTTAATTCCGAATTGAATGAGATGCATGTTGCTACTTATAGTACAATGATTAGTAAAGAAATAAATTTAAAAAGAAAATATATTTTTTTAGAAGGAATAGAATGTGTAGATAATGAAGGTCGTTTTAGACTTCGTAAACAACCACATTATCGTGAAAAAATGAAATTTGTAATATCTTATAAGACTGGATCAAAGATTCATATATAATTTTTAAAAATCTATTTACCGTAATTTAACCTCTATTAACCGTAAATTATGCTAAAATATATCAATTATATTAAAAACGTTTTAATAATCAGTATTATGTATCGGACTGCCACAAAGAAGTTGTAAACTATAGAGAAATACAACTTAAAGAAATTCCAAAACGGAAACATTGACTGTTGCAACTGAAACATAAACAAAGGTGATAATGATGAAATTTTGAATTTGGAAACTACGTCGATCAATGTGTTCATGAGACGGTGATCATAAAACCTTCAAACGCACAGGTTTGAGACATTCTGTAAAAGTGGCGAATGGTTCTCAATTAACAGAATGCGTATGCCCTAAATGATTTAACTAATGATAAGACACAACGGGGAATGGAATGGTCAATCTTCGTCAGCGACAATAAGCGCTCGATCATGGAGGTTCCGTCAATGACTTGATACTTGACTTCAAATTCTCATCAGTGGAAATTTAAAACAACAACAACAAAAAAAAAACAACGAAAAAACAATAGAAATCAGTACTAAAGTGTAAAATCGTATGAAGTAAAACACATCAAAAATGCATGTTATAATTTACAATATTCAGTCGGTATGATTTGAATGATGCTAAGCGTTATCATAGATAGACTGCACTTGTCGTATTTTATTTTATTTCTTGTACTTATGTCTCTAATTATGATCATATTACTATTTGATTATTCGGTATAGAACATTGTTCAATTATACAATATGAGTACTAATCACATTTGATTTATAAAACTCTTCCAATTACTGCGGAATGTTCATGCAATGAATGTAATTACTTTGCTAGTAGGAATAATTGTTCAACCATAAATATCTTCCTTGACAATTTGCATTTAATTTAAAGAGGTTTGTGCAATTAGAGACAGTAATCAAAATTTATTGTCTTCATGAACTAATTAATGTACTACTAATGTAAATATGATATAATAGTAATAAATGTTCCATTAAATCAATGTATGCAAATGATCTATTTTAATGATGAATCTATTGTACGAGATTTATTCTACAATTACCGTGAGTGTATTAATCACATAGTGTGTGTTTCATTTCTTTTATGTTTTCTTGAATATAATTACCGTTTCATGTTTCAATGTAAATTCTTCTGACTACATTGGATACATAAATGTACCTTAGGTTTCCAAGTAAATAATTAGTCAGAGATTCTGTTTTGTGTATGCCATATTTTTTACATGTAAACTCTTTGTCATAAAACCATGGTATTAGTGCACTGGCATTCAACGGTAAGAAGTTTGGACAAAAACATGTATGCTAATACAGAGATCAAATATATGTGTGTGCTAAAGAATGCTATCACCTCGGCGGGGCCCACATTCAATTCGGCTGTAAGCCAGGTTTAGGATGTCCCATCCTAAATACACACCTGCACTATTTTTGTTTGTCTCACTTTTAAATGTCTCTTTAAATCTTTAAGTGTTTACCAAGAATAGCAAAATGTACGTCAAAATCGCATTAGACGCCTTACTGGTACTATGGGGAGAAAGGTTGAGGCTATCCGGGAAAGTGGCGCTTACACATGTTATTAAAAAGTTGCCTACATAATGCCATTTTAGGTTACGTAATTGTCAACATTTACCAAAAATATGCACCAGTAAATGTTAGGTAAACACTTCAACACCATACTTATAAACACTTAACCAGTCATGTTAAATTAAACATATTTCAATCATGAATTGTTCTAGAACAAAACATTTATTATTCATCATATAAATGTTCATACTAAAACACATTGAACTGTATCAACCTTTTTTTACGAAAGAAGTATGTTCTTTAAATATTCAATGATTTCTTTTTAAAATTACTATGTATCAGTATATGAAATGTTTTTGAACATGTCTATTGTATGGTTTTGGTTGTGTTCTACATCGCACCAACACAGTAAAGATCATATGGCGACTTTTGTGCTTAACAAGTGGAGGAAGAACTGTGTCCCTCGAATGTATTATTTCAGGCCCGAAAGGCGAGTATGATAAGTACATGTGCTGGGATTGACAAATATACATTTATTCGGAATTGCATTTTGAGCTCCACATCCCAAGTGTTCGTGGTTTAAGAAACTTGGAAGACACGATTTGTTTACATGTGAGTTACAGTTTTTCCATATTTTTTACAGTCATGTTGCTAATGCCCCAAATCACCAATTAAGTAGGAATATCGTTGTTTTCGTTTGGAAATGATGTCTCTCTTTACTCAGTATTCACTGTTTGAAAACGGATTTTCTCATCACTACACACTTATTATATACCTCATCATAACTTTATAAAAGAAAACAGCGGTGCGTGGTATCAGCAAAATGTCTGATAAAAACAAACGTTCACTTCATATATTATAAATTTATCAATACCTGGTTGAGATAAAAGTGAATGAAGCATTCGGTTGACTTTATTTAAGTTAGAATTCTACATAAATGTTTTGATCATTATAGAATATTGATCTACATTCTAAATTTGAATTTAATAATATACCATTAATTTCCATTTTATGACAGTAGTCGTGCGTTAATGCTTAGTAAGGAATCTGGTGTCTAAGTTATATTTAAATCTCACAATACTTTATCAATGGCATACAGTCATGTCACATTTCCTTCCATACGTACATTATCACTCTTTGAATGTATATTTTACAAATGATTTGACTGACTGAAACAAGTTTTATTGTAAATCACGTGACACGCTTTTACTTCCTAAAATACATAATTGACGAGTAGCATTATACACACCTAGAAATAGGTTAAGCACACTTCGGAATTTAAAATTGGCAGTGATTGAAAGTACTGTCATGAGATGATGACTTAATTGAGCTAAGAAATAGTAAATTGAAAAGCAGTGATATAAATTTAGTAATCATAAACCAGTAATTTATGAGTTTAGTCTATACTTAGCATAAGAAAATGTGTTGTTTTTACCAAAAAATTAAGTGTTTATAAGTATGGTGTTGAAGTGTTTACCTAACATTTCGATGGCTGAACGCAACACTGGTCTAACTTGAATTTTTTTTCAAAAATGACTTTTTTGCATTTTTTAGCCTAATTGCATGAAATACATCAGTAAATAAAATATTAGAAATAATTGTGAAATTTTATGGGTTTTATTTACCACTTGGCATTTTGCTCTATCTCAAATGTGAGTATAACTTAAATGCAACAGAGAGCTAACTCAAGTTAGAACTGTGTTGCATTAATCAAAATTTACTTATTGGATGATAACACTGTACTAACTCCAGTTAGCACAGTGTTGCTGTTTAATTTCAATACAATAAAAATCAGTTTTGTTATATTTGCGGGTATTAAGTTAGGTTTGGCATATTCTTAAATAATTATTTTCTACATTTTACCCATTTTTGTTGCCAAAATTGCAGAAATGTAAATCCAAGGCTCTTAATTAATTCTATTTTGTTTTCAAGGAACAGTTATAAGTTTAAAATTGCTATATTATCTCTACATAGTCATTTAAGATTGAAATAAAAAATAATAGCGTATTAACCTTTCAAAAAGAGTTATTATAATATTTAAATCATTTAATTCACTGTTGATGAAAATTATTTACTTGTTATTGTTTTTTTTTTAATCATAGTGATCTATTAATTATTATAC